TTTTCTTAATAAGTCAATAAATCATTTGGGATTCATAGGAAACAAAGTATAGGGTTGTTAGTAAATCTTAGTTCTCCCTCCAAATGCTCTCTAATATCCAATTTGTATTACTGTTGTTGTAATTTATTTTCCAGTTTGGGTGACTGATCCCAACAAAACTCATTACCTCTGTGTCTTCCTATCTGTTATATCACTTCATGTTAGAGACAACTTGCTGGAAGTAGTGGTCAGTGTGAGCCTTTTTCTTAAAAAACATTTTCCTGTCTGGGAACTTAGGTAAATAATTCATAGACTGAGTCAGGCTCTTAGATCTCTGAAAAAAAATGACCTAGACATGGCATTTCAAGTCAGTCCTCTTTTAATGTAAACTATATAGGCAGAGGAAGAGCTTGAACCCAGCTGATTAATCTCAAGGCATAAAGACTAAGATTAAAATGCACTTGAACATCAAAGGATGAACATTCCAAAAGGCCATTGGGAAGTTCTTTATCCAAAGCATCCCCAACACCCAATTTAAGCACTAAATAATTCTTTTAAAATTTTAGTATTCAAACAAGAAAATAAAGTGTAGGAATAATATTTTTTAAATCAACATGTAGTGATTGGGGGTAGGGTTGGAGAAGTGAAAGGTGATGTAAGTCAGATGTACTTTGAATAAGAAAAGACAGATGTTGTAAGAACAGATAAACTCATAATCTTATTTGCAGCGTTAGTATTGTTGGTACAGAACATTTGGTAGAGAAATTCAGTTGTGGTAGCAGAGATGCATAAATGGTTTTGTGTGCAATGTTGTCTTCCTCGAGAGCCAGGTCATGGTTATCAGACAACTTGCTACAGAATCTTCAGGAATACTTTATTTCCATTTCCTGTCCAAGGTGGAAATTTTCTCCTGGATGTTCCTGATAGTAGACCATCTGCCCTGTGCGCCAGGGACCGGGTCTTCTACTAAAGGTTAAGGTGGGGTTTGGGTTCTATTTGATGGTGTTTTATACAGGAAACAGAGTGCCGGCATCGTACCTGCTTGTCAGGGTTCCGGAGGGAGCTGGTAATATGGAAGAAGGAGCACCAAAGGGCCATATTACTAACAGCTGTGGAAGCTCTCTTACCCACAAAACATTGTTTTTGAAACAGTGTACACGTGCACTTGAAACCTAAGCAGTGCTTCCTCTACTTCCCTTAGGAACTATTTCTTAGCACCAGCAAGGCTGGATGAGTCCAGTGGGTTATGGGTTCAAGGGACGCCGAGGACAGATGGGCACCATGTAGAGTCTGGAAGAGAAAGAGCACATGTATTTGTGCTTTTTGCGGCCCAGCGACTTTATCCAATAGCAAACTGTGGTCAAATTGCATGACTCCAATCTGATCAGAAGATCGCATCCCCTTTCCATGATGAAGTGCTGAGAAGACGACAGAGGCGGGGCTGGGATAGGAAGCACAGTCTACAATCACCCTATTTGAATCTCAGTATTTTTCAATGCAGCCTCCTCCTTGTTTGGACAGTTTCAAGTCTCAGAAAATTCTTTCTTAAATCAGTCTGCTATTTCTTCCCTATGGAGTATTGAAATGAAAAGATAAGTTCTAAACATTCTCTTGCACGCCGACTTCTCAGATATTTTAAGACTGCTACTCACTATCCAGCCCCCTTTATGAAAATTGGTTGCTTGTTTCCCATCTTCCAGTTTTTTTTTATCTATTATCATAATTATTTAAAGACTCCCTAACAATGGTGTCACAACCACATATACAATCCCCCTCAGTGTTCCAGCTCTCCTGTTGGCCTTATCCTTTAACTCATTGGGAGAACCTAATTGCTCACCTACTCTCTCCTCTTTTACCTTGAGCTTGCCTTTCTTGGAAGCCACGTATACTGTGATTCTCCTAGTCTGAAGATCATTTCTCTTGTGAGAAGAAATAAAAAGTAACTAATCCTACCCTGGCTGGTGTGGCTCAGTGGATTGGGTGCCAGCCTGAAAACCAAAGGGTCGCTGGTTCAATTTCCAGTCAGGGCACATGCCTGGGTTGTGGGCCAGGTCCCTAGCAGGGGGCACTCAAGAGGCAACCACACACTGATGTCTCTCTCCCTCTCTTTCTCCCTCCCTTCCCCTCTCTGTAATAAAATAAATAAATAAAGTCTTTTTTTTTTTAAAGTAGCTAATCCTATACCTCTGTGTCTTCACACCTCTGTTTTAAGCAATAGCCCTGAACCTTTTCTGTTCTTGGCTCCAGACAGATCATAAATGCCATACTCCTAACCCACAACAGAGCAAAACTACTTCACTCTATGGGCTGCCATTGGACTTTGTGTAAGACTTCGTTGATTCCAATTTTCAATCTACCTGATATTATTTATAACAACAGCAATATACATATAGCTGTTCCAACTACTATTCTAAACACTCCACATATATTTACTCCATTGACATTTGCTTTAGGTGGATGCCATTAATATGTCTATTCTATTGAAATAGAAACTGAAACTCAGAGAAACTGAGTGGCTTGTACAAAAGCACAGACCCAAACAGTGGCAGAGCTGAGGTTTGAGGTTTGACTCCAAGCAGCCTGGCTCAGGGGCCATGAACTTTTGCCCTTCCACCATGCTGAAATGTCTACTTGTAGGAGTGCGCATCCTTTTATGTTCTTCCCTGTTTTTCTGAACCTTATTTTATCTTTATATCCTTTTAAACTCTGAGCTCCTTAGAGATTTTCCAATGTGGCCATCAAATTTCTTTAGGTCCTCGAAATAGTTGCTGAATGGAAGAGTCTTTTTCTATCACACATAAACCCGCATGAGTACTTCAGATGCACAAAGCTTGAGGTCAGAGCCTAAATGAGAAAGTATCACAGAGTAAGGAATGATGATAAAATTCAAAGGAAGATAAAATCCCAACTATTTTAAGGTCAAAAACTAGAATCTACAAAGACACCGTTCTGGTTAAGTGGCAAAGGAAAGGCAGTAGCATAAGGTGATTCAGCAGGGGAGCGATGTGAGGCCAACCGCGTGAAATCAGTGGAGCTGGAAGGTAGGCCTGTTCAGTTACGGAAGGAGGGTTGAAGAGGGGAGTGGACTGGGATAGAGAGTCCCAACTCTCCTGACAACTTTAAAAGCCAGAGAGCCTAACACCCAGGTCCTTGTTTCTAATGCCACTCTCCAATTAAAGGAACCAGAGGGTTTGGGGGAAATGATTCATTCTGGGATTAGGCAGGGAATGGATGAGCCTGCAGCATCTTACAGTGACGGGAAGTAAGAAAGTGAAAAACAGAGGAGAGAGGGAAAGAGAGAACCCAAGTAGAATGGTAGGGGTAAGTCAAAGGGATCCAGGAGCCAGCTGAAAGAGCTCCCAATGGCTACAGCCGATTCAAGCAATGAAATAAAAAAATATTGGATTATAACCCCAAATATAAACTATGTGTGTGAGTCTAAGTTACTGAGTAAATAAGTAAATGGGGGAGAACAGAAATATCTCCCTTGCAGAAGAATTACAAATAAATTATGTAAATAATCCCCCATTAAGGAAGTGAAGTATAACTTTCCATTCCTTAAATTTTTCCTGCACATAATGATATCTTTCAAAGAGTATGGTATAGAAAAGGGAAAAATCATAATTTTCAATGACAAAAACTGACAAACATTTACCTCAGCCAGGTAATTGAGGTCAACATCAACAGAGCTAATCTTATTGACAGTATGTACCCTTGGTATGATATGAAGAAATTTAATATGATATCCTAGATGGGATTCTGAAACAGAAAAAGGACATTCAGTAAAAACTAAGAAAACCATAATGAAGTGTGGGTTTTTATTAATGTGTCAATATTGATTCATTAATAGTGACAAAAGTACCATATTCATGTAATACGTCAAGAGGGGAAGATGGGTGGAGGTTAAATACAAATTCTGTGTACTATCATTGCAACCTTTCTCTAACTATAAAACAATTCTAAAATAAAGAATTTATTTTAAAGAAATCAAAGGGCAGAGGCTTCCTGTTGCCCAGCCAGGCCTGGAAGGCTCTGGGGGAAGTGGCCTGATACTTTGTAACATCATCATTAAAAGGGGTCACCTGAAGGTAAGATAATGGAGGTTCCCTGACATAATGATATAACAAAATCAATATGAGGCTAACCTTTGACTACAACTGCCCATTCCTTCACTATGATTCATTCATTATTTGCAAGTTTCTGATTTCTGGGAATAATCTGTAGTCTCAAATTTCGAGATACTGACTTTTTTGTATCATTCTTCATTATTACGGCAGGTGCACGTGAGTGCCTGTGTACATAAGTTTATGCAGGGATAAGGGGGCAATATTAATTGGAGCCTAAGAACAATGAAGGGGTCTAAAAAGAACTAAGGCATGTAGGCTCTGCTGCATATGCTCATGTCTGGATATTCCCTGCCACTTTTTTGTTAATATGTGAAGCACTAAATGCTTTAGAAATAGGAGAAAGAGGGAGCCCCTGGAATACCCCTGTGGCATGTCCAGGCTGTCTCCCTGGCCCTTCTACCGTCGTCTCTGGGGCATACGGGGCTTCTCAGGTACCGGTCCTCTCTCAAAGGCATTGACTTGAGGGTTAGCAGGGCGCTCGTCTCAACTCTAATGAATGGAGTCAGAGTTTTTTTCCCTTTGTGTTTTTACCAGCCCTTTCTATCAGGGATTTGAGTCTGCACCTGTTGTTTATTGTTTTGTTTCTAATGGAACTGCAAGGATGCTCAAGCTGTCTATGTGATAAGGACTATGCAGTCTACTTTGTACTCTGATCCCACCTGACAAATAGGTCCTTCGTATTTGTCATCATTTGGAGGTCATTGCCTGAGTTTACCACAGTTTTGTTTGAACTTCATCCTTCTTCATGCCAAGGTACAACACTCCTACCAACCAGGCCCTCATTTCTATAAGCTTCACTCTGGCCCCTCTTTCACCAGAGTATATACCTTTTGCTCCAGCATGTTCTACAGCCATCGCACTGGGTTTTCAGGTAGGAGCAGATTTGGACACAGGATAATGATGGTCTTCATTCTAAAGTAATCTTAGAGGTCACCTGCAGTTCATTACAATGAAACAGAGGTTACAAACTCGTATGCCTACAAGGGGGCATGTGAACTATGTGAGCCAGCTGGGGCTGACGTCAGGAAACAATAGCTCAGGCAAGACTGGCACTAACTCTTGGCCTCCCCGTCCAAGATGCAGTGGGGAGTAGCGGGGCGTGTGGCGCACTGTTGAACCTCGTCTCAAGGCGGCAGCCACTGCTCAGAGGCCGCCGGTCATCACTGCACAGGAAGGCTGGTCAGGTCCTGTGAGATTTTCTTATTTTCCAAGACAAGCCCAAAGTCAAGACTTCTTCTTTCCTCTTTGAATGCATTACCTGTGTTTAAAATTTCCTTTACTTAATACACTGATGAGGCTAAATAAAACAGATCCAGAAGCAAGGTATTACTCACCTACTGTAAGAGCACTGCCTCTGAATTTAAAATAGAAATAGAAGCACAAGCAACAGTCTTTATAGTCCTTGTGTTGAATGAACAGGATGAATATCCCAGTTACAGGGTAACAATTTCATAGCAACCATGTAGTTATTATGTGTTGTATATATGAAATTATGTCATAATGAGGTATCCCATAACACGATGGTGCAAGCTATAAAACTGTTTTATAGTGCCGAGAGAGAGCAGCTCCTGAGTGAGTTGACAGTGGTAGCTGCTTCTTTCCGTCTCACTTATTTTTGAATTAAAAAACAAATGCTCACCCAACTCTTTCTTCTCAACTCCAGGTTTTATAGGAGTGTGCAGTGTTATCGCATCTCCTTAAAATGATCTCTCCCATTACCTTCTCTTCTGCTATTTCTAGCTCTTCTCTCCTGCCTCCTGAGCGCCCCCGCGGGTGTAATTAATGTGTTTGGCTTTGTGAGGCCAGTCCTTTGTGGTGTTTCATAGCTACTTGTTTTCTCTGTCTGTAAGAGGCTAAAGGTTGCCAAAACACAAAACTTATATTGTTTATACACACATTTAATAAAAGATTTAGCCAGTTCCTCTAAGAACTAGAAGATATTTGAGAATTGGAGATAAGCCCACTTTCTGTAGCTTTTTTAAAAAACAATCTGTCCATAGATGATCGTATTATTTGTCATCAACCAATTCCAGAATGATTCCTAAATCTAACTTGTAACCTTGTTTTCAACTACCTGATAGGTATCTCTGCTGGAATTACCTTTTGGCATTTTATTGTGGCTCCAGTCTGTTCACTATCCTTTATTCCACAGGCTGCTTATCTTCCCTGTACAGAGGCTGAGAACATTGGGGATCAACCCTGACTCATCTCTCACCTCAAACCAATTAGTAGCCAATGCTGACTCTACCTTCATCAGCATCTGAAAGGTATCTGGGCAGCCATCTGTTTTCAGCCTTTGCATTTACAAAGACTTCTCCAGCAGTTTCTGAACTGATACTGTTGTTTCTGAACTGCCTCCTCTCTAATTGGTAATTCACAAATTCCCCAAAGTTACTTATTTTAAACAGAATAATAACTTTGTTTCATTACAAGGCTGCCTAGACACTCCATTGGCCAGAGGTAGTAGGAGAGAGGGTGCGCAAGTGCCACAATCTTTTGTTGCAGGATTCAACACAATACACCTATTGAAGCTCATCTACTGCTTTGTCCCCTCCTGAGCCCCACATTGGAACAACACTTAGCTTAGTGTTCCCTCAGTCCTGCTCTTTGAGACTCTTTCTACTTTGACAGGTTCTCTGGCTTATTTTGGAGTAGCTCATGCGTTGTTCGTATTTTTCTTCTCTAGGAAGCAAGATATGTTTCCTTCCCTACATTCTTTAAATACCTAATGTATACATGCCTTACCGCCTTTATTATAGTTAGACCTTTTTTTTTTTTGGTCATTTTTTTAACATTATCTCCTTTTGAAGGGAAATTTAGGGCCCAAGTGTTTTTTTGTTTGTTTGTTTGTTTTTTATCTTTTGTTTTAACTAGTACCTTGCTCAGAGAAGATAGCCAATAAATACTGAGGAAAAAAACATCAATTTAATAATTAGTTGAACATTTTTCCTGTTAATGAAAATTTGGTAAAACCAAGGGAAAATGAATGATCAGCATATACTATGCTCTGTGAGATAGCTTTCTTTTTTTATAGATGTTGGCATGGTCTGCTATTAAAGAATAGGAGAGAGGAAATATAAATACAAATGAAAAATTCTTAGAACAACTTTATTTTCTATATGCTTTTTGTTTCAAATTTTCCTCATACCCTCCAAAAATCATTCAAAGAAACTTTCCTAATGAGGTGAAAATGAGGTTTAACATCCAACCCTAACCTCACCAGGTAACCTACACATCATTTGGAATAGGGAAGAAACAACTACTATTGCTTTTATATCTCAGAGCAGAGGCTCTTTCTTCCTTATTTTATCCTTAAAAATACAATGTGATTTACAGTCGGTGTAAACCTACATACCAGTCTTTCCTTATGGTCTGATGAGGACTCTGTCTTCTGAAATACCATTATCGAGCCGCATGGGTGCGAATGGGCCCACATGTGTGACAGGATTCAGGCCATTGTTGCCTTTGTAGTCACCTTGACTCCAGCCTTGAAACCACCCAGGGACCACGTCTTCAAGGTGATACCTGGGCTTATGTCAGGACGAGTTCTTAGAACATTATTTCAGACAGTATTTTCAACAGAAGCATTAGCAAGATGATCATTTTCTTAGGTGTCATCCTGCATGTCACTAAAAATGGTCTTATAAGAAAGGAGTCCTAGGATCTGCACAGGATCCCATCCTGGGCTTATTTGGCTCCACATGGTCCTCAGTGCTTGTGTATGCTGTCAAGATATTGTATAACTCTGATAGCCAGCACCATCGGTACCACACCCATGGGTGCACACAGGCTGCCGTTCCTTGTTGGCTGGAATAAGGAGCAGGAGACAAATGACGATTTATTACCCAAAGTGATGGATCAAAAGGCACATGGGAGGATGCACGCTGTGGAGCTCTTTGTTAATGGGGCCAGAATGATGGAGGGGCGCCATGATTTCCATAGTAGAAGGGTCCTGAACACAAGGCTGCAGCTTTGTAGCTGTTGTCTGCTCTGGAATTAGCTAATAAGGCTCCCTTTGTCTGAGCGTTGGAAAGCCTCCAAAACTCGCTCAGGAGGGAAATTAACAAATGTCTGTTTTTGTTACCTCCGGATAAATCTTCATGATAAAATGCACAGCCGTTCCACCTCTTCAATCTTCTCCCTTCTTTTTCCCCAGTGGACATTCAATTACTGTGAAGGCCAAAAAAAATGAAAATAAATAAATTATTTCCTGTTAAAAAGAGCAATGGGCATTTGAGAGTAAGGGTTAGTTAGATGTAGTAAAGAGGTTCATGGTCTTCAGGAGATATTCCAAACATGCCACATTCATGCCATCACTCATTATTTTAATGCTGGTTATTTATATAATAGATGGTCACCAGAAGCTGCTGGCATTGTCTGAGCATGCAAATGTGAGAAAAGTGGTAATAACCTAACTCATTTCAGTTTGGATAGACCATCTTGTAGGAAGGATCACAAGTACATTTTTCTCTAGAGAATCTCTGCATGAATCTGATGTTTACAAAGTAGAATAAGTCTCTCATGGGCTTTTTAATTTTGGGGGATTTTGCTTCTTTGTGTTCATGTTGGAATTTTCTATGAATGAATTGTCAACAGGTATTTACTGAACTTCTACTATGTGCCATATAGTATTCTGATTATGGAATGCCAAGATGTTTAATTTAGAGTTATAGATTTCAAAGAACTCAGTGGAGTAAGGAAAATAAATACATAAAATATGTGTGCCAATGTTCTAGGCATATTGAGGCACAATGGAAATGGTCAGCTCTTACTCACTTTTATGGAATATTGCTCAGAGAATACAAGGAGGGAGGGAATTTTAGCAGAGGCATTTATAGTACAGATGTATATGACAATTTATGGTGCTACAAGAAATCTAGTTTGATGAATTTACTTTGACAAAAGAGCAAATACTGTTTTTGAAACTTAAGTTATGTATGGGTATGTTTATGTGTATGTGTGCATATGCTTATTTGCATTTGTGTATGTGTTTGTGTGTTTGTGCTGGGTCACAATAAAATATATATATTTTTGAACTTAGCAACCAAACTTATTTGAAAGCTATCCATGTAAGTGATGGAGACAACAGACTTCAGAAGCAACAATCAGGGGTGTCAAACCTTTTGGCATCTCTGGGCCACACTGGAAGAAGAAGAGTTGTCTTGGGCTACACATCAAATACACTGTGACATGTAATCACAAAAATATCTCATAATGTTCTAAGTAAATTTATGATTTTGTGTTGGGCTACATTTACAGCCATCCTGGGCCTCACATGGCCTGCGGGCTGCAGTTTGGACACCCCTGATTTACATAAATTTCATACACATGATTTTATTTTTAAAATAATTTATATAAAAAAGTTTATTACAATTGTCAATAGGGAATTAATAGTCTTTTCAAACAAACAAAAAGAAAGAAAGAAAGAAAGAAAAAACACCCCTGGGGTTGTGAAAAAGAGAGCTTTGCTCTTGGCCTGCAATTCACACTTCTAACACTTGGAAATAAATATTCAGCAGTGTGTAGCATTTCAGTCCCAGAGAGACAGGAGGAGACCGTGTCCTCAAGACACCATAGTCCAGTTATTTTGGCAAAGTGTAACTTTAAAAACACCATTTCCCACAGTCAAAAGTAGCTCTGTGTGAGAGAGAGAGAGTGTGTGTGTGTGTGTGTGTGTGTGTGTGTGTGTGTGTGTGTTCCAGGAACACATCTTTTCTTTTCTGGTGGGAAAATAGAATGTAGATAATTTAGGCAGAGAGAATGAACTTTCTAAGACCACAGGGAAAATTGCACTTTGAGCCATGTATTTAGATGTTAATCCGCAAAACCCTTTTTTGTAGTAGACTAGACTTGCAGATCCTATAATTCTACCTCTCTTCCCAGGGGATTATATTTTAAAGCTGTTGTTAACTAATTTCATTGATAAATATCCCTGGTTTGTTTTTTTTTTACTTTTCTTATTGTTTCAACTCAGTGCTTTTATTTTTGTCTTGACATTAGCTATATAAAATTACTGCTGGGTACAATAAAGGGTTCTGGAAACAGCAAGGTTCAAAAGTTTGTATAACCAATATAATTATTCTGGAGGAAATAACAGTGGAGAGGACAGTTTGAGAATTTGGCATCTTTTGGGTAAAATTACAACCTGCTTTGTCTTTCCTCATGCTTATATAATACGGTGAGATTTTAGGATTAGATTTGGATTGGTGACAAATGAGTGGTGGAGACAGAAAGGGCTGGAAACACTGGCGAGAGTATTGGAGACGGTGAACTGATTTCTCTGGCATTGATAGACAGTGGCCCCTTTTATCTTTCCCTTCTTAACTTACAAAAATGAAAATCAAAGTATAGGTGGCCTTCTCCTTCTGGAGCTCTCTGGGCAGCTTCCCTGCATTCCCATTTTGTCATGGAGATAAAGAGAGGATAGGAATTGGAACCTGATGCCAATAGAATCTTGTTGCTATTAGCTCAGCTGCTACCTTGCCTGGCAATGGATGGTGTCCAGTCATCCTGGAGCACCTCTGATTTCCTCTGTCATGGGGCAATATGTTAATAAAGAAAAGTGCCAAGTAGAAATGGGACATGAATCCAAATACATGTAAACTGAAAAGCACCTCTTTTTATTTGCTGATTGTTTTTTGTTCATATACTTCTAAAAATGTCAGGGACTACATTGATAAAAGGTGTTTATTGATCAGCCATTTCCAACTTAGGCCTCATAATTTAAGGCCCAGTTCTAGGACCCATATATTTCAAAATGTTCTCCTGTATAATTGAGCTCACAATGATCTTTCTCTTCAATAGAGCCATAATTTTTTTTGACTCAGTTCCTCAAGGAGAGGCAGTGCACCATGGTGAAAATAAAATTGAACTGCAGATGAAAGCCGAGGTTCTAGTTCCTGATCTTTCTCATTCATGTGTTTGGTCACATAATTCAACCCTGAGGTCTCCTTCACTATGATTCAGTATGGTTAGTGTGTATGGGAAAATGTCACCACATGATATTGGACCAAAAGAGTTACCCAAAAGAATAACAAAGAGTGTCCCAGGGATGTGCACATGGGAAAACAGGCCGCATTCCAAACCATAAGTGACTCACCCCACCAAAAGAGGCTGAGGTCTTGTGGCCACAGTCACAAAACCAGAATGTAGATCTTTCAGAGAATAGGGCCTTCAAATGAGACCATTGGATAGAAGTGTTGGGAAGATATTAATTGCTAGATTGAGTAATGTCTTCATATAGACACACTACTTCAATCATATGTAGAGGAAAGGGCTAATATTTATAATAAAGTTTTGAAGGAGAAGAGGAGGTCTACCACATGCAACTAGAAAAATAGAACAAAACAAAAAACACAGAAGACATGTTGGGGCTATCACTAGATTTTTAATATGGAAGAACTAGAGGCTGATACTTTACTGGGCATCCCTCTTTGATCTCTGTATATTACTATTTAGAGAAAATGGCAACAGTTTTTCCTTCACAGTGTGGATTCAATTGTTACCGGTGGAAGTGGGGCTCTTGTTGTATCTAAAGAAAAAGAATTTCTTGATACCTGCCTGGGAGGATGGGGCTCTGTAGAGGGTTTGTTGATGTTGTCAAATTAAGGAGATTCCCCGTCTGGCTTCCCAATGTCCCGTCTCTGTCTGACCACGGAAAAAGTCCAATCTTGTCTTCAGTAGGGCCTGGAGGAAGGCCACAGCTCAGCGTTTATGCTAAAATCAAAGCACAGTCCAGTCCAGCGTCTGCGTAACTGGCAAATCCAGTCTAGCTTAGCAGGTGTTTCCAACTGCAGTCCATTTCAGGCCCCCTCCTGGAGCCTGCCTGTAGAGTTGCATAGTCATGGATCACATGGATGCTAGAGCCATGTGGCCTTGGAGAGAGGAGGCATGAACACACAGGGTGAGTGCAGCTCAACTGGGGAAGGGAGAGAGAGAGACAGAGTTTGAAAGAGAGAGAGAGTTTGAAAGAGAGAGAGAGAGAGAGAGAGAGAGAGAACACGCTTCTTTGTCCCACTGGGATTATATTTGCTTGGCTATGGGATGGGCCTGCCCTTTCAAAAGAACCCATCCACTTCCCAAGCTTCCATGGACTTCTGATGAGGCCACCTTCCAACCAATCCCTTCTTTCCTCAGGCTAGACAGGCCTCTTTGGTTAAGCACCTCCCCCAGTACGATTTTGACCTCCACTGCCCATGTGCCTGCTTTCCCCTGCTGCCACCTGGCAATCTGGTACCAGAGCGGGTAAAGGGAGGGGTCAATTTCAGGTCATGGTATAGGTAATTAATACATGAAATCTTTACATGGCTGTTTACATTTTATGTTGGTATTTAACAATTCACATTTAAAGTCTTTTTCTGTACTTAAATGTAAAATCCTTACAGGAAAAGGTGAGAAAAGGAGAATGAAAGAGGAAGTAACATTCGTTGATATTCTATGCTTTAGTCACAGCACTAGGCTTTGAACCTATGTTACTTTATTTAAATATGAATGTTAGGAAGCATTTCTGATGCTCTTGGTATTCCCCTCACACTGTCTAGTATATTATTTTGCATTTTTAGGTGCTTCACGACTGTTTGTGTTGATTGACATTGTAATTTAAACTAGTTAAAATCTGAGTAACTTTGGTTTTCTCAATAGGCTCATGTCCTTTCTTATTAGGCATGATAGTCATTGCCTGGTCGCTTTCCTGAAAAAGCTTGGCAAAGAAGTGGTCATTTTCTACAAAAATCATTTGTGTAATTGCTCACTCATTTCTCAGAGCCTTTCTGGAGCTAAAACTGAGTACAGTGCCCAATTATTCTTTATGCTATGAGTTCTGGACTGAATGCTGCCAATGACTGAAAATGGAGTAAGGTCTTCCTTTGGAGGGAGCCATTTGCCCATGGGATGGGATGCAGACCCTTCTAGAATATAAGGTTTTCTAAAAGGGTCACAGTCAGCTGTTGGCTGGTTGGAGTGCTACCTGGGGAAAGAACAAGGAACTTCACAATGGAACAAATGACTCAGCTTTTGGAAAATCAAATTTAGGATGCAGGTCCAGTTAATAATAACAATATATTTTCTTTCTTTTAAAAAGTGTAGGAAGAGTGAAATCAATCCAAACACATGGACAGGCTCTTTTTTTTTTAGTTGCTAAAGAGATGGGAGTAAAATTTATAGAAAATGCT